TTCAACAGCAACAGAACGGCCATTGATTTCCGGTAGACAAATTTAAAGTTTTCCCATAATGCCATTTTCATACTCCTCAGGCTAGTAGTCAATTATCGACGGGTTTTTTCGCACGTTTGAAGAAGTAGAACGGGGTTTCCGACGAAAAAGAGTTATTAATAATAAATAGAATCTCGCAAAAATAAGGAAACGCCAACAGTATCTGTTGATAATATAAAGTTAAACAACTTTCTGCTAAAATATGAATGTAAGAGTCATAAACTAGTGAGTAATTAAGATATAAAAAATATACAGGGGAGACTTTTGAACGTAAGGGTCCTTTGAACTCCTAACACACGTGGTGTGGGTTGTTTAACAGATCACGAACCTTGTCAACACTAGACGTACGAACAAGCCAAAATATACTGACTTGAGCTACGACTTAAAGAAATAAAAGTCACCGTAAATTAAGTAATTACAAAAATTAACTAAAAATACAATAAATTAAAACTCTTAAAGTCAATTTTAAACAATTACACTAAACTAATTATATAGTGTCAAACTTCAAATTCAAATAAGGTTCTGAACCAATTTTACCATCAGTTACATGCCTAACGCTCCGATGAATGTACCTATGAACACCTATGAATGTACCAGCCGATGACCACACATCTCACTCACAAATATATCATCACCAACAAATATTATTTTAAAGATTTCATGAAAGAAAATAAACCCAGACTTTCAAACTTTAATATCCAAATAATCAAAATTGGACAATTATTCTGACAGGAAAGGGAACGAAGTTGTCATGGATACATAAAAAATAACTTAATAGAAATGAAACGATTACGGAGAACTGATTTACTATAAGAACGTCGTTATTGTTGGCGATTTAATGTACCCGTCCATAGACTTTGGACTTTGATCTGCGCGTGCGCCATTTTCAACTGATGTGTTGTTGGTTAGGAAGTCGTCGCTGGTAATTCATGTCTAGGTAAGTCCGAGTATTATAAATACGTAATATATTGTTGGGTTGTTATTACATTCTAGACAAGTAATTTGCTAAATGTGTTAATAGGGGCACTCTTGAGATAGCATACTACAGCACATATAATGTGTTAATAGGGGCACTCTTGAGATAGCATACTACAGCTCATATGCTTGTCAATAAAGGGTATTCGATTTCAAGTACTCACAATAGGACCCAGCTATTTAGTAACTTAACGTTGGCTTTTGTCATTTGTCGCACGGATACAACTGGATATACAGCAATCGCGATTCTTTCGAACAACCCAGGTTTGACAATCACATACACACCTGTACCACAACTACTATTAACACATACATAATCGCGAACTCGGTAAGAAACGCTTCTCAGCGTAAGAGACCTTGACATTATACGTTTAAATTTTCATTGAAATTATTTGGTTGTTTTCAATTAATTTTAGCGTACCTTTGCAATTTATTTTAGCATTGTCAGTTGTTTGCTTCATTGAATTAAACGGAGTTCGTCCGGTTGCAAACAAAGCTGTCTCGCATCACCGAGCAAAACTTGCGAATGATCGAAGTACAGGTACCCATTGGACAAAAGATACACGAAAGTGTGTATCTCCCCGACCCAGTGCAATATATCCGGTTAGAATCAAAGCTCACGTGTCCCTTATTTGAGGGACCAGATTCTGCCGTAAATTCGGGATGGGATTTAGAAAAAAAATAAAATGGGACTTTTAAGGTGTATTTTGGCGTCATTTCAATCA